ATATATACATATTATATTTACATATATATATACTAATACTATATATATATATATTATATATATTATATATTATGAATATATATATATATATATGATACTAGTATATTAGACACTAACACACACACACACAGCCACACACCACACACACACACACACACACACACACACCATCACACCACACACACCAGCATCATATATACTATATATATATATACCTATATATATAGTATATATATATATATATATATATTGTGTGTTGTCGTATAATATGTATATATATATATTATATATATATAATATATATATATATATATATATATATATACATATCACACACACACACCCACACACACACACACACACACACAACACACACACACACACACACACACCACACACATATATTAATATATATATATACTATAATATATATATTATATATATACTATAATATAACATTATATACTATATATATATATTATTATTATATATATATATATATTATATATATACTATATAATATATAATATAGTATATATACATATATATATATTGCCATATTATATTAAGATATAATATATATAATATATATATGTAATATATATATATATATACTATATTATATAATATATATATTTATTATGTATATGTATATACATATATGTATGTATGTGTAAGCATCTTTGCTCCTCATTCACCCCCATTCTCTCCCCCTCTTTTAGCCTTTCCCTCCCTTCTTCTCTTATTGCCTCTCTTCACTTCCTGTCTCTTTCCTTCCTCCCTAATCTCCCCCCTCTCTCCTCATCTTCATCATCATCATTATTCCACTCTTCCTCTTCCTCTCCACTTTCCCCCTCACCTCCTCTTCAATTAATCTTGCTTGAAAATATTTTACCAGATGTTTCAGCCTTTTTTCCCCTTTATTTATGTGTGATAATGGCAGCAAAGGACATAAATTTACAGGGCTATTCGCAGGCAAACATCTTTATCTTTTGGTCTGAACGGTCTTTACTTGTCGCTTTTGTTTTTGTTTTTGGTCGTGCCTATCCCTCTTCCCGTTATACCTATTCCTATTGCCCCTATCCCAGTCCTTGTTTTATGTACACATATTATGCCTATCCCTGTCCCTCATTATGCCTTTTCCTGTGCCCGCTATGCCTACTCCTGTTGCCATTTTGCCTATACCTATCCGTCTCCAGTACTCGTATTCCTGTCCATTGGTCCTATCCTTATCCGTCATTCCTGTCCCTGTCCCTTATTCTCACCCTTTTTGTTATTTGAATTCCAGTTTATGCTGTGTCTATCCTTGTAACTATTGTCCCAATCTCTGGTTTGCCTATCCCCCTGCCAGTCAAGAGGCCTACCCGTGCTAGCCGCTGTCGCATCTCTCCTTATCCTGGTTATGTACGGTGTGAGGATATTAACAGCATAAGGATAGCACTATGCCTGTCCCCTTGTTTTGTTTCCTTCTTATCCTTTATCTCCAAAAGTCCATTTTCCTGGACTGGGGAAAGGGAACTAATATCCACATGCTATTTACTATATGTATATAT